TACTTTCCTATAAATACTAAGTAGTAACTTGTAATTTTTTTACACACAATTATACCTTCTAATTTTTTCTTCTTTAACTTTCAATCTATTTAATTTATCAAATGGATCCCAAACAATGGAATCCTTATTATAATATTTACAAACTCCTACCGGCGACGGTTCTCAAAATTTTCAAATGTGTCCACGACCATCGCTCCCTATTGGTGACGGTTCTCAAATTTCTCAACCTTTTATGTTTCAATCACCACCATTCTCTCCCGGCAACAATTCTCAACATCCCCAACCTTTTATATTTCGACCACCACCAACCAACATCACTAGCCAATATACGCATTCAATGGGTACCAACAACGTCGTAGAGTCTCCTATCATTGAATCAGAAACACCAATCGGGTCAACTACAGATTCTCAAGTGCCAGTGTTCCCCATTCAAGAGGGCCTAGAAAATATTACTTTTGCAGAAGAAGGAGAACGTTCAAACCAAATAATTAGAATTATCCAAATAAATAAATTAATTAACATGAATAATTAATTATTGAAAAATTGGGATGTTACACTAGTTGTATCAACTCACGGGCAATAGATCACACACCAGATGTAGTCAAAGATTACATAGTCCAAAGATTTATGGCAACGACTACAGAGAAGTTGTTCTTGTTTCCATATAATACTGGCCATGGGCATGACTTCATTCTAAATTCATTTATTATAATTATTCGATTTTTGTCATTCTATATAACATTTCCATCTAAACTGTTGTCTTATTTTATAATGGACACTGATTGTTGGTCGCGATTAATCCAATGAAAGAAATAGTGTATTATCTGGATTTATTGGATGGCGATCAAACAAAATACCCTGATATGAAGAATATGATTGATACGTAAGTGATGAGATATATTATTCTGAATAATTATATATCATTATTTATTATGTGACATTGTTCTAAATATGCGTTTATATTATGTTAGAGCTATACAAATATTCAGAGCACAAAGACAAGCAACAGTGCCAAAAAGCAAGGCTAACAACATTAGCTGGATCAGAGTGCAGGTATATTTTCCCATTTTTGACTGTTATAGTGGTCCTACTTGATGAAACTATGTAAACTATATATCCTGATAAATGTTCGTTTATCTTTTCCATTTACAGTGTCCTCGTCAGTGCAATGGGATTGATTGCAGATATTTTGTACTGCGCTTTATGAAGGAAATTATTCATTCTGGTCAAATAGAGATTCCAATCATGGTATGGATCAATTCATAAATTATATGATTCATTTTGATAATTAACCGATGTTTCATCTGAGTAATTAGTTTTAAAACTAAATCGCGCATGCTCTGTTATATTATGTAGTACTTTGATGAACTCAAGTGCGGTACTTACTCGAAAGCAGGATTGGAAGAAATAAAGAAGGAATGGTGTCAATTTATTCTTGAGTTGAGAATTGTATAAGGTATATGTATCATCCAATATTGATGCGGGATAATAACATTTCTGGAAGTCGTATTTATTTGTAAAGTTAACGGATTTGTAATTATATGTAAATTGACTGTATTTATGATGTTGTAATTCTGAGGATCCGATTGTGTTGTAATATATTTAAGCAGGTTTATGTGTATTAAAATGATTATGGGCAAAGTGATGAATTAAAATGTATACTTAAAGGCCAAAGTGTTGAATTGTATATATAAGGCCAAAGTGTTGAATTGTATATATAAGGCCAAAGTGTTGAAATAAAGGCCTGAATTATAAGCAGGGAATGTAATATAAACAGGTTTACCGAAAAGTATATAAAAAGTGTGATTATTTAAAAAAAATAATTTAAAATCGTGAAGATTAGACAACGCTTTTACAAAAAAGCGCTGCTAAAGGGAAAAGGGGGGGGGGGGGGTCTAAGACAATGCTTTATAAAAACGCTGCTAAAGGGGAGGGGGGTCTAAGAAAGCGCTGCTAAAGGGGAGGGGGGGGGGGGTCTAAGAAAGCGCTTTCTAAAAGCGCTGCTAAAGAGGGGGGGGAATAGGCAGCGCTTTTAAAAGTGCTGCTAAAGAGGTAAAAAAGCGCTGCTAAATGTTCTGCTAAAGGGAGCCTTTAGCAGCGCTTTTTCCATAAAAAAAGCGCTGCCTTTATCTTTAGTAGCGCCACTTTTGGCAGCGCTTTTAAGCGCTGCTAAAGGCCAAAAAAAGCGCTGCTAAAGGTCTTTTTTGGCATAGTGCTTCTCGCCAATTTCCCTTAACTTCTCCTGTCGAGGGGCTCTTTGGTTGTCCCTCTTTCTGTGTTGGTCGACGCAGGTCAATCGACCTTTTCCACTATGCTGTCGACTTGGGGCGTGAAACTGGTTGGTATTCCACCGCTGTCGATCTTTGTTTCCTACTCAGGGAGCGAGTCGACATGTTCTTCTTGTCAAGGATAGTTAGCTAAATTTCAGCCAACACAATGGAACCAAAACGAAGTCGACATTGGTGATGTTTTTGCAAACAATATAACGCTAAATGAGATAAATGACAAAGAGGATCAAGAACCAACGTCTATCAAAATTTGTAGACAAAGTGAGGACTGGTCAAAAGGGAAATGTGCAATTGAAGAAAAATTAAACTCACTCTACAAAAGACAAGCTTTTGGACCTGTAGTTCGAATAGCTTAAGGTTTGAAGCCAGTTGGATACATATGGGTTTTCATACAAAAACAATATGAAAAAAAATTGTGAGATACAAAGCTTGACTTATAGCTCAAGGGTTTTTGCAAATACCTATAATTGATTTTGGTGAGACATATTCACCTATAATTGATGCAAGCACTTTTTGATATCTAATAAGCATTGTAGCACATGAAGGGCTTAATTTGCACATGATATATGTTGTAACAGCTTATCTGTATTGCTCACTTGATAATAAAATTTACATGAAACTCCCTGAAAGGTTCAATATACCAGATGCACACAACTCTGAATCTCGAGAAAGCTACTCCATAAGATTAAACAAGTCTCTGTATGGGCTGAAACAATCTGGACGAATATTGTATAATCGTGTAAGTGAATATTTGCTTAGAGAGGGATATAAAAATAACTCTATTTGTCCTTGTATTTTTATAAAAATATCAAGAAAGGAATTTGTAATAATAGTTGTCTTATGAATGACATAAATATTATTGGAACTCTTGAAGAGCTTCTAAAAGCTATTAATTGTTTAAATAAAGAGTTTGAGATGAAAAACCTATGAAAGATAAAATTATGTCTAGGTTTGCAAATTGAATATTTTGACAAATGAATATTTGTACATCAAGAAGGCTATAAAGAAAAGATACTAAAACACTTCTATATGGACAAATGTAATCTGTTGTCCACTCCAATGGTTGTTAGATCATTAAATATAGAGAAAGATCCTTTCAAACCTCGAGAAAAGGATGACGAACTGTTTTCTCCTGAAGTACCATATCCTAGTGCAATTCGAGCACTAATGTACCTTTCTAATTATATACGTCCTGATATATCATTTGTTGCCGATCTATTAGCAAGATACAATTCTTCACCTACACGAAGACATTGGAACGAAGTCAAACATATACTTCATTACCTTAGAGGTATAAGAAACATGCGTTTATAAAATGCCAAAGTATCCAGATTTGAATTAACAGGTTATACAGATGCATGTTACTTGTCAGATCTTCATAATGCTAGATCACAAATAGGTTTTTTGTTTACATGCGAGTGTGCAACTATTTCATGAAGATCAGTGAAACAAACCATAACAACAACATCATCTAATCATGCAAAACATTTAACATTACATGAGACAAGTAGAAAATGCGTTTGGTTGAGATCCTTAATTTAACACATACAAATACTTGTGGTTTATCTTATGAAAAATTAAATATAACGACCATATATGAAGATAATACTGCATGCATCACTCAATTGAAAGATGATTACATTAAAGGAGACAGGACAAAACACATTTCTCCAAAAAAAAATTTTACTTATGATCTTCAAAAAGAGTGGTGATATAAGCATCCAACAAATTTGTTCATGTGATAATCTTGCAGACCTTTTCACAAAGTCACTCACAAGTAGAATTTTTAATGAACTAGTACAAAAGATTGATCTTCATCGAAGAAATGATTGTTCAGCTAAGGGGGAGAAATGAAATGATATTATACTCTTTTTTCTTCACTAGATTTTTTTTACTGAGTTTTTTATTCTTCTAGTAAGGTTTTAACGTGACATATCCTCCGTAGACATCCAAGGAGGAGTGTTATGAATAAAGATAAAATGTGGATGTTCATCCTTATTCTTTTTTCATCTTCCTATTTCATATTAATAGCTGTGATTTTTCATCTCCCTTAGATCCTATAAATAAGATCCATATTGTATTTTTGAAGAAGATATAATATTATTTTATCTCTTTTTTCCTCTAATTGATCTCTATATTATATTATTTAGTTTTATAATAAAATAAAATATATTAATTATTTGTAACTGTTTAAAGATTAAAAAATTGATAAAATAGTGAAAGTTTAAATATTAAATTAATCAGAGAAAATATAGTGTAAAAAGAATTTACACTAATTTTTAAAAAATTTATACAAATAACAAAACGATATATTTTTATTGGATGACACGGTAAAATTGGTGCTACTCCTTTGACCTCAACTGACTATTTAAAAAAAATATTAAAATTCAAAATTCGGTGAAACACTTATCAATCCTAAAACGTAGATTCTGCCACATGTGCTATGTGTGCTATCTATTTATTTAAATTTTTTTAAGATTAAGCACTTATCAATCCCAAAATACAGATGCCTCTGTCTTGCTCCAGTTTCTGCTATCGTCCTTAACTTGGCCGCTCTATTGACCTGTGTGAAGCCGTCGATCTATACTTCTCCGTAAAATTGCTTCAAACCATAAGTTGGTGATCGAGAGATTCTAGCCGCTATATCTTAAGGTTTTTGCAAAGGTTTATATTTGTTTATTTATCAGTTTGGTTGTTTTTGATCAATTCACAATGAAATCAAGGAGACGAAATAATGACAGTGATGGTAGAGCCAGAATCAGGGCTTTATCCGATTATCTTTTACTTCAAAGGAGAGGAAATTATGACGGTGATGGTAAAGACAGAATCAGTGCTTTACCCGATTGTCTTTTACTTCAAATATTATCGCATCTGAATTTGAAGCAAGCTATTCAAATATCCATCCTCTCCACAAGATGGAAGAATCTCTGGAAACATATCACCTTTCTTTCTTTCAATTATAGAAACTCTGAAGCTATTGAAAGTTTCACTAAATTTGTTTCTCAATTTTTGTCTCTTCGCAATGATAAGACCTCTCTACAAGCCCTCAATTTTGAGTGCCGCGACTTCATTAAGCCTCACTTGCTCAAAAGGATTATGAAATATGTATTTTCACACAATGTCCAACAATTACACATGACCGTGGCTTGTAATATTGAACGCTTTCCACTTTGCAACTTTTCATGTCATACTTTAACCTCTCTTAGACTTACTTCATGCAACCAACCTTTTAGTCCGGGAACAATATTTCCAAATTCTCTTAAATTACCTGCATTAGCCGATTTGTCTTTGCAATTCTTTGTCTTTGCCTATCGCCCCAATAGCGAAGGTGACTATGCGGAGCCTTTTTCTGTATTTAAGAGTTTGCATACTTTGAGAATTCAATATTGTGAAGTTTTTAATGAACTGAACCTTTGTGAAGACAACCTCTTCATATCAAGTGTCTCTCTTGTTAATTTAACAATATCACTGCCTGACCTCCCTTACAAATTCAAGTTATCTACTCCAAATCTTTGTACCTTTGAATTTAGAGGTCGTCCTTTACAGAATCTAAGTGGGCGCAATAGCAATATCAATAGCAATTTCTCTTATATTAAACATGTAAAGATTGTTTTACCATTCTCAGATTCTGTCCAAAATTTTCCTTCGATTCTATTCAATTGGCTAGTTGAGCTTACCCTTATGGAATCATTGACAGTCTCTCCAACGACTCTTGAGGTATTTTAATTTGGTTTGCTTAAAATTTAGGGCTTTCATTTTTTATTACAGTCACTATTTTATTTTAATATGCTTGCATTATTTTATATTGACTTGTTTTAAATTGATCTTAATTCACCTTCATTCCTCATTGCTTAGATTCTCAACGAAATTCCTGATTCATGGAAGATTGATTTCCCTTATTTACATAACTTGAAGTTACTGCAAATAGACACACGCGAATATGTATCCGATGGAATAGGAGATTTTTTGCTTCAAAACGCACCGTCGGCAAAGAAAGTCATCAAACGTGCAAGGTAAACGTACATTCAACTTTTAAATACAATTGTCTAATTTAGCTTTTGCTTTTGTTTCCCTTGATATATCTGTTGTTATAACTTAGTATAGGTGGATAAATTACAAGATGCCTTGGTTTTAGACATGATTGGATCCAACCTCAACTTAAGGGGATGCTCCATAGTTAGGATGAAAATTAAATGGAAGTTGATGTTGGTTTGTAATGCTTTTATACTTTTAAATCAATTAAGTTTGAAATCAAGAGGATTACTGTGTGATATCACTCTAATAGGATTAATACTCCTACAATGTTGTTAGAACAACATCCAACATAAAAAGATTAAAGAGAAATGAGAAAAGAAATGACAATTTGTTACCGCAGTTTGTCTAATGGTGCTAGACTATAGAGCAGTTACAACAGTACCCTTTCTTTTATATCTTATGAAATAGGATTTTACAATTTTACAAGTATATACTCTCTTTGGTCCAATTTGTGTAAGAGACAATTTACCTGTTAGACTCATTCAAAGATTAATGTATTTGGTTTAAATAATAGACCAGATACATTCCTAAATAATAAATTATCTCTTATAAATAGGATTAAGAATTCTAGTATATAATACTAAGCCTCAGATTACAATAATACCTTAAAGCTCTCACAGCACCTCGGTTATCTATCGATAATAATCTCTACAACAATCTCTACTATATGAGCCTTATTAGATGGATGGTTGAATTTTTTTGGTTTTATTATGTATGTTTGTTGTATGGTTTGTGTCAAGATTGCCGGTAGTTTTATTTTATTTAATTTTATTCATTTTTCTTGCTATACACCTTACTAGTTTTGATATAGTCTCACTAATCTCTTGTATGTATTGCCTCTATATTTTACAGACCTGTCTGGCTGTAGCGCTCTTATTTCCAAGAGATTAGAATATGCGTGCATGAAGTGATTACGACAATATTTTCAAGAGAGATCTTTCCATAGCTAGATAGCATTATTTATTTTCCCTGCAACTTACTGAATTATTGTTTTTATTTTGTTTATTTATTTTCAAGAGGGAATTCAACTTTTAACATTTTTGTGTCGTTTGGTCCTTCTATGTTGAATTTGGACTTTACACCTATGTTGTCACCTCTCGCGTAGAAGTGTGGTATTGGTTGAAGTTTATTACGAAAAGAAATGGAGTATGGTATAGTAGAAGTTTATGTAAAAAAGAGAAGAGAGTATGGTGTTAGAAGTTTATAGGTCCTAGATTTGTTGCTGCATATCCAATACATTGTGTAAATTAAATAATATGTTATATTTTACATATTTAAGAGATGGTTGCAAAATGTAGATTTTTTTAATGTACTGTAAAGGTTAAGATAAAACTAATTACAGATAAAATAAAACAAACTATAAAGAAAACAAATTCGATTTATTATTTACAACAAAATGATGAGAAAACAACTTATTTATATTTACTCATCAATTTATGAATAATTTCAAATTTGCAAATAAGTTGCTTCAACAGTTAGTTGTTAAATCCTTTTTAACATATTTGTAAACTGGTATTCAAAAGGAATGTTGATTGAACTTATCAATTCATTTTTCAATTTTTTTTTTTTTTTACGAATTGCCGATTAATCTCAATGTCTTTTTAACAAAATTAACTATATTAAGAAACATTCTAATGTTTATGATCAAGCTTTTTTAAAATTCATTTGAATACGTTCTTTAACGATTTTTTTATGTTTCTTTCTGTAAGAATTTGAAGACTTGAAGAAAGATAACCAATCTTTGACAATAAAAAAATTGTTACTTTGTCAAACTAAAAGTTTAATAAGTTTAACTTAAAATCTCTTATCATTTGTATATAAGGAAACATGTTTAATAGTAACATATAAAATAATAATAACATATAAAATAAACATAGAAATCACAATTCTACATAAAAACAAAAAAACTTCAAATTAAACGAGAGGGATAAATAAACAATGAGTTCTTAACTTTTTTCTACGAGATTTCTTAGTGGGTTTCTGCCTTAAGATACTAAATTCAACCGTTGTGATCGGACTTTATTATGGATTTTTGACTACAGCCTGCATAGGACCGTCTTATCTCTTCCTTATTCGAGCCCGAGTTATGGAAAAAGGGTCCGAGACGGAAATAGCAGCAACAAGCGGGTTTCTTACCGGACGCGTCATGATGTTCATATCGATCTATTATGCGCCTTTGCATTTGGCATTGAATAGACCTCATACACTAACATTCTTAACTCTACCGTATCTTTTCTGTAATTATGTCTATCAAAATAGCAAACACTACTATTCGGACGATTGGGGTCGGGAATACTACCCGGATTTTAGATACAAAAATCCTAATATAACACGTAATTTTAGGACTTACAAAGTATTTTTTAACAATCTTTTTTTTCAATTATTAAACCCCGTTCTTTTCTCAAGTTCAATCTTAATAAGATTAATGAACATTTATCTGTTTCGATCCAACAATAAATTGTTATTCTTAACAAGTAGTTTTGTTGGGTGGTTAATTGGTCACATCTTTTTAATGCAATGTGTTGGATTGGTATTAGTCTGGTTCAAGAAAAAAATCGATCAAATCTAAGATAACTATGAGATTTGATAAATACATTCTCCTACAATAACGGAATTATGCGGGACAAATATTTGTCGTTTTCGCCTTTGCTAATTTTGCACGCTATTCTGGCAGAGCAGTGCCCCTTATCTTTTTATTAACGAAATGGAAGCCTACGACGAGAGGGACTCGGGGGAAATTGAATAGATGCGGAAAGGGAAGAAAGTAACGAAGAAGATATTACGGTTTATTTTTCCGAGAATGAGAAGATTTCCAACAACACGAATATTCAGAAAAAGACAAAAATCGTCCACCCCGGTGGCGGAAAGAGGTCTTGTAAATATTCTTTTCGATTATAAAAAATGGACTAGACCTTTGCGATATATATAAAATGATCACTTCGAAAGAGTTTTATTGAGTTAAATTCTGTTGTAGCGAGAAATTTGAGATTAAGCTATTGATTAACTTATCTTGCAAAATAAGAGTCATTACTTCACTTTTATTTTTCAAAGGAAAGAGAAAAGAGTGAACAAAATCTAAGGACGTTTTAAAACAAAAACTAATAAAAACAGAGTAACAGGTTGGTTACGCAAAAGGGAGGTGTTAGCACACAAAATGTCTACAATACTCTATAGCAACCTCATGAAAATCTAGCGTTTGACTTAAAAAGGTGTTGTTTGCAAAAGATTGGTGAGGTGTGAAGAGAAGTATTTTTTAATAATTTTTTGTTTGTGAGCCTCGTATCTACGTACCCATAAAGTGTAATGGAAGATCAAAACCTTAGTTCATGGTACAAATAACAAAATGATTTGTTGAGATTAATTTTAAATAAAAAGACAACTTGTCATTTTAAGGAGAAAACTTTAACTAATCACCCACAAGTATGTGAAAATGGACTTTTTCATCACCATGAGAAGGGCTCCAACTTGGATAAAGTCAACAAGTATGCCATTAACTCTCTAAGGTAGAAAAGAATCAACTCATTTCAAACAATACTACGGGAATAGAAGGATTACATCTCAACTAAAAATGAATCATGTCTAAACTTTATGAAAAGTTTTAAAAGCAAAAAGTGCACAAGATGCACAAAATGATTTGAATGAGTTAAGTCTTTTTTCAAGTCTTATGAAAATGGTCTAAGTATGCTTAAAATTGATTAACATTTATTAAGAAAATGAATTTGAAAAATAAACTTGACAAAGTCAAGGTTTATTATGAACGAGATTCTAGTTTGAAAGAAGAAGGTTTTAAAAAAGGGAGAAGATTTTGAAAATTTAAGAAGGGGAGGAGATGAAGAGGCTATCCTAAAGTATAAAAATAAAAGATAAGGATGGGAAGATCTAACGAAAATATAAGCCTTTGACATAAAGAAGGCAAAACTCCCATCCTTTGGACTTAAGGAACAAGATAAGCAATAAGCAGAGAAATAACCAAGCATCAAATAAAAACCAAGTATCCAAGTTAAGTCTTCAAGAGAGGTTAACTCAAGGTAAAAGTACCATATAAGATTCAAGGTCTCAAATTACAACTCTAACGCATAGAGCAAGGAAACTAATTATAAGTCCACTATCCATAAGCAAAGAATAGTCACCAAATAGTCCAAGGAAATATTAAGAGTTTTTTAATGGTTTGAGCCTTTATTAATGTCTTAAAAGAAAAAGAAAGTCCAAGCAGACAAAGAAAAAAAGGATTAAACATAAACAAGATAATAATATGATATGAAATGATAAGCATAAAATAAAGGGTAATAAATAAAGAGCATAAAGATAAAATTGCATAAAAGTAAATGGCATAAGGTAAAAATTAGTACAATTAAAGTTAGCGTCAGTTTTAAAGTTAATGAAGAAGATATTTTATCATTCAAAGTAGATTACTCAGCTAATCATTCCAACAAGTATGAGATCTTTGCATCATCCTTTGAGAAGGTATCCAACTTGGATAAAATCAACAAGTATGCCACTAGCTCTCTTAGGTGGAAAAGAATAAACACACTATGGAGATATGAGATTTACATCTAAACTAAAGATGACTCATATCTAAAATTGGACCAAATGATCACTTTCCGATTAGGGACAAATTTAGCGCTATGTTAAGCAATCATATCACAATCTATAAGGAAGATCATATTATGGGAGACCGTTCAATAACACTTTATGTACCATACATGTTTGAGAAATGATATAACGATCATACTTCTAAAACATGTAGCACAAGTCAAAAAAAGGTGGATCAAGACCTAAGTCAAGGAAAGATGGATCCATTACATCAATAAACCCCTCATAATACTTTGGACAAACTTATGCATCAATCCAAAGTACCTCATTTGATCAAATGATCAATCCAATAGTAGATTTGAAATGATTAAAGTTCATCAAGTACCACTCAAGATCTCATACATCCTCCAATTGATCAAAGAAAGGGTGAAAAAGAAAAAGAAAGAGAT